TTCGCTTGAAAATTTGATTCTCAGTAGGATTTAAGTAATATTCCCGCAAATTGGCCGTATACTACACTGTTATTCGTATCTCGATTTCTTATTTGTTCAGTTTTTATGTAAATGACGGAAAAGTGGTGATCTTTCCACTGTCACTACAATATTCACCTAGCATACTGGTTTCTTGCCAGCTGCTTCAGCAATACGGTTTTAGTGCCACTAACCTTTATAAACCTCATTCAACAGCAGCTATATGCTACATGATGCTGCTGCCTGCCAAGTGATTCACAATGGAAATCTCAGTGATGCCTTTGAAGTGAAGACAGGTGGGAGTAAGGCAAGGTTGCCACCTACTATCATGCATCATCTTACTGATTGTGGTCAACTAGACTGGACTGGACTGGACTGGACTGGACTGGACTGGACTGGACTGGACTGGACTGGACTGGACTGGACTGGACTGGACTGGAATGGAATGGAATGGATTGGATTGGATTATGCAAGAAAGTGTGAGGAGCGAGAAGATGGGCATACGTTGACTGGACCGATGAAAAGACCCCAGAAGAAGATTTGGATTTCACCAACGATGATGATTTATGTCTGATGTCTTGTCGCACAAACTCGAAGATCTACAGGTGAAAACTAAGAAGTTGGGAGAAGAGGTGAGGCAGGGCAGCGGAGACGGGACTGACTTAAGGCGAACGTAGAGAAGACAGAGGTAATGAAAATATCAAACCACCACCACCAACAACAACAAACCCCAATCACCATTGACGGGAAGTTGTCTCTTACGCCTGCCTATCTAGGCAGCACCGTTTCAACTACAGGCGACGGCGGCACAGGTGAGGATGCCAAAGTCAGGATCGGAAAGACAGTAAAACAGGCCTTCCTCCATCAATCTGAAATAATCAGTGTGGAGATCTACTCCACTCCACTCCACTCCACTCAGCATAAAACGTGAACAACATCCGGATTTTCAATACTACTTCACTGAAGTAAGTTAGTGCTTCTATGTGATGGTTGGAGAAACTTGGCATGTCACCAAAAGCATTTTCAACAAACTACAGACATTCATCACATGAACAGCTGCCGCCTACGCTCACTCGATACTGGCATTGAATATCAGATGGTCAGAATAATAAGAATAAGCAAGAAGGAAGTCTGGCTGGCTGGCTGGCTGGCTGGCTGGCTGGCTGGCTGGCTGGCTTGGCCTGGCCTGGCCTGGCAACGAACCAACCAAGAACCTATTGTGCAGGAAATATGCATGAGAAGTTCGGCGTCAGAGACGAGGGCGACATGGAGGAGATGGCTAGAGGAAGAAATGAAAGCTTGTGGGTAGTCGTGGGGTCAGGTTGAAGCGACTGCAGAGAAGAGAGTGAAGTGTCGACTTGCTACTGAAGTTGTATGTTCCACTAGGAACGCAATGGACAAATAAAAATAAATAAATGCTTTTTTCTCTATTCAATCAGCAGTTTCGTAGCTGTTGATAGTGAAGGTGGTGATAAAAATGTCTGAGCACAACTTAAACAAATCCACCTCTTACACTAACATCATTTTGCTAAATTCAGGTTAACCTGAGATAAAATATAAAGCCTGGAAATTTATTTCACTACTTTGTTGAAAATTTGGTGATCTATTAATGACACTGTTTTATCAAGTTGATATTCATCATGAACTGATATCAGTTGGAGGAACATCAGAAACCTGGGAGCACTAGAGAGTAGCTGTTTCGTTCTAGTATGGGACTGTTGAGTAGTGTGCTCGATTACTTGTTACGATCACATAATGACGACATCAAGTGAAAAGAAAACTGTTTCACTCTACGCTGGATTTGCAACGTATAAGAAATTGTGGAGTGTAGAATAAATGACAGGTAAAGATTTATTATTACAGATAAGGTCGAAAGATAAATGCGCTACATAACAAAACAATTGACATGCCTTCGTCAATGAAATCTTAGTACGATTCGCCTAACCTCAATATATTGCTCACACGGTGATACTAGCATGCATAAGTAATTGTTAGGGATGCCGATATCGCTTATATTTCATACTTAAAGTTTTGTATGTATTTGAACTGTTTATTCACGCTCTTTTACCACACATCAGTCATATTTCGTATGACCAACTACCGTTCACATTCACCCCTACCTCTTTAAATGTATTAATTATTTCTTGTCTTTAAACGTTACTGTCAACTCTATAAATAGGGTCAGTTTTCACTTATAAACGCTTCAGTCCGAGATACTATAAACTTATCTGGTCTCCAGTCTTTTGATTTCTCTTTGTGAATCAATGAGGTTGAATCATCTCAACCCTCGACTATCAATCTCTAAGTATTTCCGTTCGTTCTCGCAACTCCACATCATAACACTAATGCTACGAATGCAGGTATGTTCGAAAACTGTAAGGTTCTGGCTATTAATACATCCATAACGAAAAGAAACAGGAATGGAGCGTTTAACAACCTCAACTCAGCAATGTATACATCTAGATGATATTGCTATCAATTATCGCTGTATAAGGTAAATGGGAAACTTCTGCTCCTTTGGGAGTGTTTTCAGACAGCGATTGTGCATCAGTTGGAGCAAGTGTAGATGTATAAAAACTAAAGTAACAAGACCATTACTCCCCCTCTCTAGCTCAGCTCGATTTGCATTTGGATGAGAAAACCTGACTGGGCAACCAGTAAGAATACGATGAACGAGCAGTTATACATCACGAATTCACATGGTAGTCGAGCGAAACCCTTAAAGAATGAAGTGAAGTCAAGATCTAGTAAGCAGCTGAGTGTTGTTGTAGATCAATTGGTAGAGCAAAGAGACGGCAATCCGGAGGTCACGAGTTCGAATCCTGCTGCAACTTAGATTTTCATTTCACCATTCAATCATCGCCCACTATCAGTAATATGAGTCTGCCAAACCATGGGTATCTCACATAGTCACACTGAGAATACATTCCTCCCTACTCACACCTAATCAGTTGGAGAAACCAAAAAATACACCGATTCATTATACTATCAAGGTGGTATTCATCAGGGATTGATACCTGTTGGAGAACCATTGAAAGCTTAGCAGCGCTGGATAGCTACTTCTTCCCATTATGGAAATCCTTAGTAATGCTCACGCAGGTCCCCACCACTGACAAGTCAGTGACTAGACAGGAGTCCAACGGTTCATATTTCCCCTACTTCTACCAATTCACAATACAACGCACACATACAACTCAGCTGACCCAACAGAAGTACTGTCTAGTATTTATTAGTGACTTGTTTCGAGATAGATTCCCCGATGTTCTAATGAGAAGTCATGATATATGCGGTCAGCCAAATTCAGATCTGAGGACAAACATTCATAGGTATAGGAAAATGTTACCATAGAATTCCAACCCAGCGGCTGAATGGTAACGTGCCTGCAATGTCACCTAACGGTTTTAGATTCAATGTCTCATGAGATTGTAAGTGCGAACTGCCAAGGAGTTCAATATTAGGACAAAAAAGCTGTTTGTTGTTCCGAATTTTTCAATGGTTCTCAAATCTGATCTCAGTCTATAATGAATACTACCTTGAAACGAACCAATCCCCACAAACCTCCAGAGTGAAATAATTATGTTATGTAGATTTTCAGGTTGTCTGATGATTTTATTTGAATCAAATTATTTTAATGTTATTGTGCCTAATATGAAATGTAGCATATTGATTTGAAGGGGGAGAAATATATACTACTTATAAGTAGGTAAATGGTATTACTTCGAAATGTTTTGAAATAACTTGAACACCCAATCAGCTGCATTGTGTTTATACTCAGAAACTAATGTGTCGAAACAACCTTGAATCGATTTATCTGCTCATACGACAAAAGAACAGAGAGATAAGAATAATTAAGAAATTAACTACCGAGATCAACTAAAAGTAAGGCTATTGAGCATGTAGGGATTTAAAAAACTGTAAAGATAAAGGTGAAAAACAAATACGTAACTGTTAAAACATAATAATGATGGATAGTGGCTAGCAGTGGAACTCAGCTGGATGCGCATTTCATTCTGTTTGGGACTCCTAAGCTGGATGTACCTACCTTCCACTTAGTGATGTTGTCCCCACTTGGATTCGGACTCAGGACCGATCGTTTCAAGGGTCAGATGGTTATCCACTAAACCACCGACCCACGATACCCACTTCTTGTGCGAGGGGCATAGTGCATACATACAAACCATGGTTTCCAAATATCTATTTCAAACATCCTGATGTTGAAAGTCAGTGACTTTGTGAATCAAACACTGCATTTTTCGCGGGGGGGAGTATTTCAAAGGCCACCCTAGGAACAACCGAAATAACTAATCACACCTTTCTATTTTATGCACATCTGCACCTCCAACCGAAAAGGCAAAATCTAGTTTTCTACTTCGATCGTTGCTAGGGTGGCGTTTGAAATCGCTCGTTTTTTGTATCCCACTTGTTCTCCAATGAACTACCGATTAGCCATGAACAACAATCTTATCAGCCAGTTTACTTTCTTCTCTAAAAACCATAAACAACCTTTACATAATTTACTCGATAACTAAGCTACGAGTGAGTAGTATTATGAAGGTAACAGTAATAAAACATCTGTATGAGTCTGGTATAGTTTGTACGCAGTTTAGAGGCTGGTAAAATATCAAGCATTGTTATATATTGCGGACGCTATCCTCGGATACCTCGTAGACAGATAGATAAGAGATAGATAAATCGACGTGGAACCTTGCACAGAAATAGCATAGTTGACAGCAGCATACAAAGTAAAAGTGAGTAGAAAAAGTGACATGGAAGTTGATAAAGGTGATAAAGGGTATATAGATTTTCAGGTATGCCATCAACAGTCGTAAACTATCATCTTAAAGACCCCAGACAAACGGTCTACATCTTCTTAGAACAATCAAAATCTTTATACACTTGTGATGAGTATCTTGGTCTAACTACTCTTAGCCTCCTTGTAACTCAATCCAACATGAAATAATAAAGCAATAAAAGTGACTTACATGAGTTATTATTCCCTGTACCATGTCCTTCATTAACGTATAGTACAGTTCCAGGTGAAATATCCTTCACTTTTGATTCATTATGCTTAATAACAGAATGATTAGGAACGGTTGTAGTATTCACTAGAATCGCCTCAGTTTTTGTTGTTGTTGTTGTTGTTTTCGGTGTTGTCAATTGTAAAATTGAAGTTGCTTTCTTAATCTCTTGTTGTTCAGACTTTATAGTATGATCAGAACCGCCTAGACCACTGTCAACATCACCAGAATTTTGTTGTTTTTGATCATCTTCAGGTGAATCGAATTCATTAGGTGATAAAGATAATTTTTGTTCATCATCTGGTTGAATATCTATACCGATTAACTCTAAAGATGATGATGATGATGATGTAGACGGTGAAGATGATAATGATACACCACAAGTTGATAGAATTTTTGATGTACTATGTTCAATAGTTTTGTTATTATCATTGGTGATAGCATCGATTCCACTAGATGTATTCAAATGATACCGAGATGAAGGATTAGTAATCGATAAATCTTGTTGTTGTTGTTGTTGTTGTTGCGTAGTAAACATTTCATGAGATGATCTATTCACTGATTCAATATTCTTCATGATTGACTCATTCAATACTGTTGAAGTTATATTAGATGATTGTTTAGGTTCAGAAATAGCTGAATCATTTGACCATTCCGATGATGATGATAATAATAATGATGATGTTATTGGTATTGATGATTGAAGTAGAGGTAGTGGAGATGATGATTTAATGCCTAGTTTATTTACACTAGCTAAATAAATTTCACTAGCTGTACGTTTATACTTTTCTACACTATCACGACATATACGACGCATATATGTATCATTAATAACAGCACGTGATGCATATCTTGGTGGAGCTTTAATACGTGGTATAGGCAATGGATGAATTGTTCCAGATGATATTATACTATCTTTACTACTAGTATAATTATTATTGTTAGTAGTCATTGTTATATTTGAACTTAAAATACTAAATCCAGGATGTAATTGCATAAATGTACGTAAACATGATCGTCGACTAGATGTTGGTGGACTGTTAGCTCTTGTAAGCAATGAACTGAATGTATTGCTTGTTCCTGTTGTTGTTGTTGTGGTGGTGGTGGTGATATTAGTAACCATTGTCCGCGACACTATAGGAGTTGACTGAGAAATAGGAATATGTGAAGATGATGCAGTAGAAATTGTACCAGGAGAAGAACAACCAGTATGAACATTTGAACTTTGATCAGTTGATCTATTGAAGAAAAAAAAAGGCGTAAAAACATGACTTTCAGATAGAGGAGCAAATAGAACGTAAGTGTTTATTTACACTATCCTTGTTTAGTGTTTACTGCATAGTATGGATAATTTGTTTTTTGTTTATGCTTTGAAGTTTGCTTAGAGATTAGATTTGTTTTACGGAGTAGGGTTGCTAGTCCTATGCCCAACCTTTCCCTCTTTACCCAGGCTTAAGGCCGGCTAGTAACTAGTGAACTAGTTAACCAGGTGAGGTTAAAAAAAAAATATGGAACGCTTCACGATTTCTCGTGTCATCCTTGCATAGTAAAGATCAATTTCTTTCATCGAATCAGTAATACTCAGTTTCAAAAGTTATGAAAGGAAACAGGTACCAGAAATGACAACTAACGAAATTAGTATTCGGTATTTTAGAAGAAAAATCTTTGAAAAAGTAAGAAGCATAAGGTATGAATATGAATTTCAATTGATGCAAATAATTCAAAGATACTTCTGCGTTACCGATATCGATTTTCAGCCATATCACCCTGAGTATTGAACAACTTTAATGTAAGTATACATAATCGCTACTGTACTATTATTATTATTATTATTATTTGTCCCTTGGGTTAACTAATGCAACATACGGCTTCACTAGCACGTCTCCACTCAACTCCACTCCAATCTCTCCTCTGAAATCTTTTCAACCTGGCTCCACAACAGCCAACAAGCTCTCATTTCCTCCACACACCATCTAATCCATGTCACCCTCCACATCCATGCCCAACTCGTCACTTCCCATCTCGGTCCCACTCGAGTACCTGGCCTGGTCTGGCCTCGCCTAACCTCACTCGTGATATCCCCAGTCGGACTTCTCAGTGGATGCCCAATCCAATCCATCTCCACTTCCTGCTACTGCATATCTGTTCAGCGATAGCTTCTCGCTTCGTTGGTTCATTGCCAACCAACCAGCCAGCCAGCCAGCCAGCCACAATTCCTTCTTACTTATTCTCACTATTCTGGCCATCTGAACTTCAGTAACGTCCTCGTCCGTGCTACCTGTAGTTGAGACAGTGCTGCCTAGATAGGTGAAAGAGTCATCGGTACTGTGGTAGAATTTAATTCCGCATATCAAATTTGTTGATTTGATTTATAACACACGGTGATCTGGTATTTATTTACTTGATGACCTTTCGAGCATAAATTATCATTGCTCATAATCATCATATCAATGTAATCACACTACTTTCGATATCCGAGCCACTTTATATGAGTTGTTTTTATTGGTAGTAAAATTTTCCGCATCTCTAGTAAAGGTGTTGCTTCATTTCTATCACATGTGTTGAGTTAGGCGTTGATTCGATGAAGAAAGATTCAGTAGTCAATCCTCGTCTCTCTCCACCTAATTATATTGGACTTAAGTACAGTGGCTTTATCCCACTTTTCATACCAGATAGAAAATGAACAAGGAGAATGCAGGACAAAATGAAGGATAGACGGTGGAGGGAATACTGCTGTGTTCTGCAGGAATTGAACACAATCTAATAGGTATCTAAACTTCAAGTTATCTCATCCAATGTCAGTTATAGAGCTAAGCATCTCATTAGTCAGTGCAAGAGCTTAAACAAAGAAATGAAGCACATAAAAAGAGCGTTAATAGTTGGTAATTATCCTACGTAATTTACTAAGGAATTCATATGAACAAATAAGAAGCAAAATGATAACAGTAACACGAGTACGAATAATAACGACAGCACAAGTAGAAAGGAGTTCACAGCCTCACAAACTTTACGTAGAATCCTCAACATACCTGCAATTAGGGTGGCATTTAAATCTACAAACTCACTCAGAGATAAGCTTTGTCCGTTGGCCTAAGGATCTGATCGATTCAATTAAGCAAAATAATCTGATCTATCAAATTCCATGTAATGACTATGAGGTCAAGTACATAGGTTAAACTAGTCGGTCGGGGTCAGTTAGAATAGCCGAACATAGGAATCTAGCTAAATATAGAATGATGAACCTCAATAAGATCAATAATCTAGGAGACTCGGCTATTGCAATGCATCCATTAACACACAACCACATAACAGGGTGGGTGGGATAAAACCGCTGTCCAACATAATTAGGTGGAGAGAGAGACGGAGATTGATTACTGAATCTTTCTTCATCGAATCAACACCCAACTCAACACATGTGATAGAAATGACGCAATATCTACGCCAGAGATATGGAAAACTTTACTACCAATAAAAATAAATAATATCAGGCGACAGAACTATAAAGATCAAATATCGGAAGTACAATTTGATTACATTGAGGTATGATTATGAGCAACGATAATTTATACTCGAAACTTTGTCATGAAGTAAATAATACTACACCACACTGTGTTATAGATCAAATAAACAAATCTAATATGGGGGAATTGAATTCCATCACAGTAATGACATTTTATACTTATATTATCAACATTACATTGGACAAAATGGTCACCATCTTCGCCTTCGTCTATATGAACACCATGTGGTTATTAAACGTTACAACATTTCATCTCTCATTTTCATACACGTGGGCAACTATGGAAATGAATACAATTTTAACAATGTAGAAATTTTGGACAGAGGAAACACAAAGTGTTCATAATGCCAATATCATTTGTATTCCATAGTTAAAGTTTTGTATGTATTTGAACTGTTTATTCACGCTCTTTTACCACGCATAGGTCATATTTCGTATGACCCACTACCGTTCACATTCACCCCTACCTCTTTAAATGTATTAATTATTCCCTGTCTTTAAACGTTACTGTCAACTCTATAAATAGGGTCAGTTTTCACTTATAAACGCTTCAGTCCGAGATACTATAAACTTATCTGGTCTCCAGTCTTTTGATTTCTTTTTGTGAATCAATGAGGTTGAATCATCTTAACCCTCGACTATCAATCTCTAAGTATTTCCTTTCGTTCTAACAACTCTGCATCACAAAACAAAAAATATCAGGGAGTTCCTAGAAGCTTGGAATTCTCGCCAGTCTGCAATGAACAAACGCATAGACGTTTAATCAATCTATCAACCAATAAAAAATGATTAACAACAGAAGGGTCAGAAGTGAAGCAAAGGAACAGTCAACAAGAAAATCTATGCAGTCAATGACACAACAATCAAAGGAAACAACGAATCACAAACTATTTCGTCAGGGTAAGCTACTAAATCACTCACTCACGGAGAGATACTGACGGATGCTGCTGATAATGTCTAGCAAGAAGATGAAAGCTCTACAATGAAACAATCCAGCTCAGAGGACACAATACAACCAAGATTACTGATATCTTTGGAAAAAGGTTGAACTTATTACGAAAATGAAATCGATAAACCATGATGCTATAAAAATATTATTCAGTAGAGATGCTAAAATTCATTAATATGAAAACAAATGAAATTACTTATTAAAATGCTTTGTTATAAGATGGACTACTCACAACTAATTGAGTAGTCATTTTGAAAAACTACTAAGCAAATGAGAGATTACATACAGTCCCCCCAAAGCATAATAGTGAGAAATTACAATTATCAATACAGAATACTATCAGAAGTTACAAAAGCTCACACATAACACAAGAAAAAGTCAACCAAATGCAACTAAGATGTCTGATTTTACTATTTAGAGTAAGATGAGACTAAAAATAGAAATCATATTGTATCTAATACTTCTCTACTACACCATAACTGTTAATGATCCCTTGACCAATGACAAAAGTAAAAATGTTAAAATAATCGTAGGTCCAATTTAATCAATACCAATTTGCTCGTACGACTCAAGACTTGGCTAGGATACTCGCGGATAAAAAGTAGTATTTATTATCATTTGTCCCTTGGGTTAACTAATGCAACATAAGGCTTCAATAGCACGGTCTCCACTCAACTCAACTCCAACCTCTTCTCTGAAATCATTTCAACCTGGCTCCACAACAGCCAACAAGCTCTCATTTCCTCCACACACCATCTCATCCATGTCACCCTCCACACCCATGCCCAACTCGTCACTTCCCATCTCGGTCCCACTCGAGTACCTGGCCTGGTCTGGCCTCGCCTAACCTCACTCGTGATATCCCTAGTCGGACTTCTCAGTGGATGCCCAATCCAATCCATCTCCACTTCCTGCTACTGCATATCTGTTCAGCGATAGCTTCTCGCTTTGTTCGTTCGTTGCCAGCCACAATTCCTTGTTGCTTATTCTCACTATTCTGGCCATCTGATCTTCAGTAACGAGCCAGTGTAGGCAGTTGTTGATGAATGTCTGTAGTTTGTTGGAAATCCCCTCGGTAACGCCCCAATCCTCTCAACCATCACACAGAAGCACTGACTTGACTGAGTTGGTGTTAGAAATCCGGATTTTGTTCACACTTTATGCTGAGTGTACGAGATCTCCACACTGGTTTCTGGCTAATGAAAGCCTGTCTTGCTGTCTTTCCAATCCTGACTTTGACGTCCTCGTCCGTGCTGCCTATAGTTGAAACAGTGCTGCCTAGATAGGTGAAGGATACTACTTTTTTCAGGTTTCTCCCGTTGTTGGTGATTGGAGCTTGTTGGTGGTGGTGTTGTTGTTCGGGTATCTTCATCACCTCTGTCTACTCTACGTTCCCCTGAAATCCTGTCTTAACTGCCTAGCCTCTTCTGTCAACTTGTTACTTTTCGCCTGTACATCTTCAAGTTTGTGCGACATCAGACACAAGTTATCACTGGCGAAATCCAAGTCTTCTAGGTTCTTTTCCGCAGTCCAGCCAGCGTATCCCCCTCTTCTCACAGCTCCCCACTGTTTCTTGCATGATCCAGTCCAGTCGACCACAATCAGGAATATCATGGGGGAGAGTAGGCAACCTTGTTTCACTCCTGTCTTCACTTCACAGGCATCACTGAGCTTCCCATTGTGAATCACTTGGCATGTGGAGTCTTCATATAGTTGTTGAATGAGATTGATAAAGGTTTGCAGTGTTCCGTAGTGTTGAAGGAACTGCG